ATAACAATATGTAACATAACAAGATTGTTAATTTGTATCATCTTGTTTTGAAATCCTCTATTGTTTTTGTATTTTGTCTTCACTGTTATACTTTTTTCTCTTTAAAATAAAGCAGAAATGTCAGTTTTTGGAAAAATTGATGATACCATCTATTTGCTTTTTTTTTTTTTTGTCTTTTTGAGACAGGGTCTCCCCATGCAGTTCAGACTGGCCTTGAGCTCACTTTGTAGCCCAGGATGGCCTTGAACTTGCATTGATCCTCCTGCCTCAGCCTCCTGAGTGCTGGGATTACAGGCGTGCACCACCAGGCCCGGCTTGCTTATTTCTTGAAACAGGGTCTCTTGATGTAGTTCAGGCAGATCTTGAACTCCTATCAATCCTCCTGCCTCAGCCTCCCAAGTGCAGGGATTACAGATGTACACCACCACGCCTGGCTTGGTGATACTACTTTTAATCACTTGATTGAGGTGGTTCTGCCAGATCTTTTCATTGTGAAGATACATTTTCCCCTTTATTAGAGAAATATACTTTGGGGGCAATACTCTGAGACAAAGTTAATCTTCTGGTTCACAATAACTTTTTATGCGATGGTATCAGCAATGACCCTTGCCTGTAAAAATTAGAACTCTGGATTAGTAAACCATGAACCCTTTGTTGAGGCTCACAGTTGACATCTGGGCTTTCACATGGAACCATTACCGCTATATAACCCTTGCAGGATAGCACATCGGCTATATCACAGGCTCTAGGACAGCCTGGACTGGGCTGAAACTCTGCCTCTTTCATTTATTGGCTGTATGACCACCTACTTATGTAATTCCTCTATGTCTCAGTTTCCTTATATGTAAGTGGGTAAAATAAATAAACCTCTCTTAAAGGGTTGTTAAGATTAAGTAAGTCAAATGAAAGTCCCAGAACACTACTGGATACTCGATCACCTCCTCAACAAGGGTCAGGTATTACCGCATACTACTCATGATTATTTACGAATATTTCAGTTCCAGCTTTGCCACATCTCAGAATGTCCTCAGTTCTTCACCAGTAACAAGGTTCCTCATGGATTTGTGAAGACTCATGTTGAAGTGCTCATCATAGTGTCTGGTGTGGAATAAGCACTAAAAAGATTAGTTGTCATGGTGATTTAAAAAATTTTTGCAGTGCTGGGGATGAACTTGGCCTCCTATACACCAGGCAAGTGCTCTACCACTGAGCTATGCCACCAGTCTCCTGTCTTTATTCGCTCCAAAGGAAGTAAGTTCTTGAGGGGATCTTTTCAGTTTGTCCTCTATGTGCGCTGCCTGGCTTACAGCCAGTCACACAGTATGGGCTCAACCAGACAGCTGAGTAGAATTAAGGAAGCTTTGTCAGGCGACAGTTGCTGAAGAGTCATACTTCTAACCATGCCCACATTGCTGTATCTGTGCCACCTTCCACGCCAAGAAGCCCACGCTTGGGAAAGCATGACCCCACAGAAGGCTGTGTGAGGCCCTTGGGGGTAGAGGTGGAAAACCTCCACGTGGGGCTCAGGAGAGCTGTGTTCTTACCTCGCACGGATCCGCACCAACGCGGCTGTGCTATGGCATTTTTTGCCCTGGCATTTTGATCTACTCCACTCTGCTGATTAATGCTGGGCACAGCTGCTCGCGGTGCAGTAGGCACAGCAGGAGGGGAAACTGAGACCGGGGTGCGCGCCCGGCGGTGCGCACAGGCCTCGGACGACACCCGACGTCCGCGTCGCTCTTGCATCGCTTCCGGTCCCGCCAGGGCGCTGCTCACGTGACCCAGACCTGGGCGGAGCCTGCGCTCCTAGATCACCGGAAGGAGCGAGTCACGTGAGCTGAGGGCGGGACGGGGCGGTGCCAGGGCGGTCATGTGACGCGATCCCGGCCGAGCCGAGCCGCCTTCGCTCCGCCTTCTGGTCTCGTCCGGCTCAGGCCCCACCTCCGTGAGCTGTGGTGCAGGTGGGTGGACCCCGGAGCGCCGGCTCCGCTCCGGG